TGCCTCCTGCATGCACTCTACTGACATAATTTTCTTACATTGAATTCATTGGCTGAAAGCCTTCATTTTTGAAGTATTTAAAAGGGGGATTGAGCCCAAAACTGAGGCATGTGCCCTGACCTGGAATCAAACCAGTGACCTCTTGGTGTATAGGTCAATGCTCAACCACTTAGCCACACCAGCTGGGCAAGACCATCATCATTTTCAGAGTAAGAAGATTGTGGGCAGTGCCGTGGACAGGCCTAAATGGTCATTGCCTAGTGTCTGAACTTGGGATCAGTTATAATATGTCCTGTTATATCTCACTTAAACTCCTATGCTCTGTCAAAGTGGGAAGAGAAGTAATTTAAATTACCATTAAGTACTTTATCATTGAGCCCTTTATTTTTAGGTTTGTTGAAAATAGGGACAAATAGAGTATATTTTGAATATTTCTAATAAATATATAGGGAAAATAATTTCAAAAGTTATCAAGATTCACTCCAAGCCAGGACTGGTTTGGCTCAGTGGATAGAGCGCCGGCCTGCGGACTAACAGGTCCCAGGTTCGATTCCGGTCAAGGACATGTACCTTGGTTGCGGGCACATCCCCAGTGGGAGGTGTGCAAGAGGCAGCTGGTCGATGTTTCTCTCTCATCGACGTTTCTAACTCTCTGTCCCTCTCAATTCCTCTCTGTGTAAAATCAATTAAAAAAAAAGATTCACTCCAAAACTTAGTCTTCTTATGAGTGTCTGGGTTAAATCTGCTATCTATAAGTTAGATACTATTGAAGATAAATTTCCTTAATCACCTGAGTAATTTTGTTTTCTTCAACTCTAGCCTTCAAAGATAGATAGTTTAAAAGGTTTTAGTTAAGCCCTGGCCAGTGTGGCTCAGTTGGTTGAAGTACCGTCCAGTACACTGAAAGTTTGCTGGTTCGATTCCCAGTTAGAACACATAACCAGGTTAAGGGCATAGGAGGCAGCTTATTGATGTTTCACTCTGACATTGATGTTTGTTTCTCTCTCTCTCTCTCTCTCTCTCTCTCTCTCTCTCTCTCTCTCTCTCTCTCTTTCTCTCTCTCTCTTCCTCTCTAAAATCAATAAAAAGCATGTCCTCAGGTGAAGTTTTTAGTTAAAAAGTTCATTAGATCAGATCTGGCTAATGTTGCTTCTCTTTATTAGCTTAATCCTTCATCCCAGTTCTTTGGTTTTTAGGTCAGTGATTCGCAATCTTTAGCTACTGCAACTCACTGAATAGATAATTTTTTTTACAATAAAAAAATTGTAAAACTCCAGAACTGATTCTCAATAATAAAAAATCTTCCTTCATTTTAACAGAATTCTCATGTAATGCTGTTTTAAATACAATGAAGTCAACTCCTTTGCTACTAAACTTTCAAAGATATTATATGTCCCTGCACTATCAATGTTCTAAAGGAATATTCAGTATATGCTATTTCCCAAACTTAAATGATCAAATTTTATACCTCCCCCCACTTGCTCCCTCCAGTACCACTCCAGTTACATATCAGGTGATCCCTTCAGAATATAAATTCTTAAATGTGCAGTGTCTTTGACACAAAGGTTAAGTTGTTCCACAGTGTGATATGTTTGTTTATTCAGCGGTATTATCTAAAAAGTGAAAATGTACATTAGAGACTAATAAGCTAAAAATGAATGAAGTACACACCAAATCTTAAGGCAGATCTCATGTCCATTGTCTCTTACAGCTTCTCATATCCAAAGAAATATTTGAATATTACTCAAAAATTATTGGTGTACTGAAAAAAATTGCAAACACTTCCACTTCGCTGTCACACAATGAACATCCTATGAGTGTTTTTTTCTGTGATCTGGAGTATACATGGGACAGAGCACATTTTTAAATCATGGGCTATATTTATCCACTATCAACAAAATAGGGAAATGGAGCTGAACCTAGTCTTTTCCTTCCCTCCCTATAATTTCCTCTGTTTCTAATTTTGTAGCAATCAAGTTTCAACTAGTTAATCAAATGTCTTTTGTGTGGCAGGTGCCAGGGTGTTTGTTTTCATTAGTGTACCAAATGCCATATTTAGGAACTTGGCCTTTCGGGTAACTGGCTACAAGCATGGCTTTAAACCATTAAATGTGTGTATTTAAACTCTGCATTTATTTTTACATCTCCCTATCCAAATAATCAGGATGTGGTTATCTGTAAGATGATACATTAGGACTTTTTTCCTATATATACCCAAGCACAAAAATATATGCCTCAGACATAATCATCAATATGGTAAACACCAGTCATCCTGTGCCATTTATAAGATCGCAGAAATGGAGAAACCAGGTTAGGAAAATGTGCATAAAAATAGTTAAAGGAAATCCACATGGAAAGGCTTATAAAATTGGGCAATTTTATACTTTGTAACCTGTTTTTAACATGATAAAAAAAATGAGGAAGGAAAACATCACAATTGTGGTTTATCTTTGATTGAATGAGAGAACTATTTTAAAGAGAGAGAGAGATGCCAGAAATATGAACTAATTTTTAAAATAGTCATGTTTTTAATATATCTTCCTTTTTTTCAGAAAAATCAAAGAGATAACAAAATCAGAGGGCAGGAAATGTTATTTAGTGCTTGATTTTTTTTTTTTTTTTAAGGAATAGATAATGCAGTTTTGGGTTGATATTTTTACCAGATCTGTTGAGTTCTTTCTTGTTATTTTTCTAGTGTCTCAATATAGGGATATAATCATGATTTATTGTTTTTATACTTACCATAAAACTCAGTTCAAATATTAGCTTTTTAGGAAGAGAACACAGAATTTACAGAGAATGGGCAGAATACAGAGAAGCAGTTGTGACTAACATTGTGTGACAAGATTTCAAAGTAGATCAATTGGAGATATAATGAAGAACTAGTTTAGACTACATTACATGAAAATTAAGATTATGTTTGACAAATAAGTATTAAGAACAAAGCTAAAGTATTTTATCTTAGCTTTAAGTATATACTTAAAGCGAAGTGTCTATATAAAACACTTACTTGCCTATTTTCTCCAACATACATTTATTACTAAAAATCTACAATATTTAGTAGATAGTAACAATATTTTAAGGAAGAGTCATAAAGAAAATCTTGGGTCATACCAAACAGAATGTAGTTTACTAGCGACATATTTATTAATATCTCATATATGTTCTTTCACTTACAAACTATAAATACTATATGAAATAAAGAGGTTATACATGAATGAATACAACTCTCTCAAAGCTCTTTTGAAGTGATAATGACTCCTCACTTCACAAAAATGGAAAATAAAGCTCACGTAGGTTAAATAGTACACTCTCAAGGCCACACTAACACTGAAGCAAAAATGAGACACGGTTGTTCAGATCCATCCTAGAACACATTTTTTTCTCTAAATTATTTTTTAAAGGAAATAGGAGTTTACTGAGATCCATTCATAAAGGTGGACTGGGAGACTTCGCAGTGCCATAAGAGGTGGCAAGGCAAACCTATTCTGTAGTAACTCGCAGCCCGTGGTGATCTTCCCTCCCCCATTGCCACTGGCCAAACTGACAGCCAATGGGTCTGAGATAGACCATAGACACACACTTTAAATGGATGTTATAATAGTTTTTAATGTGAAAAAGTCATAAATGTATAAATGACACATCTTTGTGCTTACCACACAGAATTAACAAATGTAATATTTTCACACATACACACATATTTATGATAAGTGCCTTATGTTTCCTTCATAAGCTTATTTGCTCCTCACTCTCCCCAGAGGCAATCATAGTCATGAATCAAATTCCATTGGTTTACACTTTAATTATATATATATAGATCTCTAAACATGTGGAATTATTTTTTGTACATCCCGTTTAGGCAAATGGTAGTATGCTATATGTAATGTTCTATAAAATCTAATTTCCCCCAAAACTGTATTTTTGAAATCCATACAATATTTAGGTTATTTAACAGCAGATAGATGCATGTTTAACTAATTTGCTTTAAGTCCATGCTAGGAATATACCTCAATTGATGAATCCATTTCCTCTTCAGTAAGTTAGTGTGGTTAATTCTAATTTTTTTTAAATATATGTTTTATTGATTTTTAGAGAGAGAGGGAAGATAGAAACATCTATGAGAGAGAAACATCAATACCATTTGGCTGTCTTCTGTATGCCCCCTACTGGGGATCAAGCCTGCAACCTGGGCATGTGCCCTGAGTAGGAATAGAATCCTGACCTTCTGGTTCATAGGTCAACACTCAACCACTAAGCCACATAGGCCTTGCTAGTTTGATTCTAATTTATTACTATTCTAAACAACGAGGCTATGACCTTTCAGATACATGTCTCTGTATAAACTTGGGCCCATTGTTACTTAATTTTGTGTCTAGTTGTAGAATTTTATTAGTCAGACTTATTTAAATTTTCCAAGAACTGATTTTTATGTGCCTTGAAAATATATTCCACTTTTAATTTGTTTTTATTTTGTTTATTGTATCTTGTACAGAATTTTTTAAGTTTGTTATAAATGTTGCTTAAGAAATCCTTATATATATCAAGGACATAAAGATATTTCCATATTGGGTCTGTGACATTTTTAATTTAAATGATTTTACTCAAAGCATATCCTCCTTGGTTCACCACAAACCTCACCAGATCATCCTTTCCTACCTGACCAATTTTACACATTTCCCCTTAGGTACATGAGACTGTAATCCCAGGATTAGATAGTTAAAAATAAAATTATACAAGTTAGATTTCTCAGACTGGGGTTACTTTGAATTAAATTAGTATTATAGCTATACAACTCCAATCTATGTTTCCATGGAAATGAAGCCATGATAGAATTCATTCTGAGAGATTGACAGCTTCTATAAACTGTTATTTAAGTTTTGCCTAGTAGAAGCTGAATAATTTAATTTATCACCTCTATGTAATATGCTTTATAGGAGTTTTGTTTTCCTATCATTACATGCCAAACGAGTAATGTTAACCCTGTTGTGTGTGACCTTTAGATGCTGGACTGGAGGTTGGCAAGTGCACATTTTGTCCTGGCTGTGACACTTATCCTGTGGAGTTCAGGAAAAGTACTCTCAGTGGATGCAGTTACTGAGGTAATGGGAACTAGCTTAAGGGACCAAATATATTTTCTATTAAGATAAGCCTTTTCTATTAATAACATACTTTTATGACTTGGATGAACTACAAAAGGGCACTATATGCAATAGACAAATAAAAAAAAACAGGAAATTTTACATGGGGCAACAAAGTCATTGAGAAAGCTCTTTGAGTCATTGTAAATACTTATTAATATTTGTTAATAAAGCACACGGATGGAAGTGTAGATCCCCTGAAGGCAGAGACTACTAGATTTTTTAATGCAGTACATAGTGAATGCTTAGGGCTTGAATTAATAAGAGGTGACTGAGTGGTGGGGGGTAAAAAACCCATGAAGTTTAGTGTTTATGGAATTAAGTCCATAAAAATTTATCAGTACTAACTATAAGTAAAATTTATTAAGTACTAACTATGAGCAAAATAGTGGGGTAGGCATTGAAGAGAGTCAATAAAAGACTAATTAGACATAGTCATTACCCTCAAATTACTCAAAATCTAATATACATTACAAATATAATAAATCTAATACAAAGGAAAATGTAACTACTGTAAGAATCAAAGTATAGCTACAATGCTGTGGGAATGATAATAAAGGATAGAGTTGTTACAGGGAAAGAATCCAAAAGAATTATCTGCTAATATACTAAATTTGAGATGTGAGCATGGAACTTTGATTAAGAGTGTGTGTGTGTGTGTGTGTGTGTGTTGTTTTTCTTTAATTTCTGTTGGGTATACCTCACCTCTATACGTGTTTGCCCTCAAAAGTCTCTCTGAATCATAAATCCGTAGAAATCAAGTTTTATGACAGGTATATCAGGTAAATGTAGCAAAAGTCAAATGCATATGATTACAGATATTTGAGGTGAATAGAATCACCTTTCTTGCTCGATAGACTTTTGATGTTGGAATCAGAGATGCGCAGTCACCAGCCATAGCCAGGGAAGAGAAATCAGCAGCTGATCTGGCAGCAAAACTCATGCTTCTTGATGAACTTGTGTCTCTGGAGAATGATGTGATCGAAACAAAGAAGAAAAGGAGCTTCTCTGGTTTTGGGTCTCCCCTGGACAGACTCTCAGCTGGCTCTGTGGATCACAAAGGCAAACAAAGGTAAGTAAGTAAGCACTTGCTTACTAAATATTTTGAAAGTCAATACATAAATGTTATATGTAAATAAGTACATATGAATTTATAATAGCATACATGCATATATATAAAATATGTATTGCATAAAGATTATATGCACCTTGGGGTACCTCAGCGTAGCCTGTGAGGATCAGGCTGAAACCGACAGTCCAATATCACCAGCCACTCTTGCCTGCCATTTCTGCTTATCCTGGCCCTGCTGCACCTGCAGCCTCCACTGCTCAATAGGCTCACTGCTGCTCTGCCGTGGTCTCCAGGTTGTGGCAGCCAGCATGAGCCCTGTGTCTGGCACCTATTGGTCAGTTGAGTGGCGCTCCCACCTTGGGAGTGCACTGACCACCAGGGAGCAGCTCCTGCACTGAGTGTCTGCTTTCTGTTGGGCAGTGCATCATAGCTACCAGCCAGTTGACCTGTCATTTGGTTGTTCAGTTGTCCAGTCGCTTAGGCTTTAATATATATATAGATAATATACATTGAAGTTTCAACATAATATTTTATTTAAGAAGTGTTGTATACAGAGACTATATTAGAGATATTCTCTATCTACTTAATATAGCTCAGGATGGAAGATATAAAGGAAAATTAGCTAGAATTTAATATCCATTTGAACAAATTTTTACATATAAAGACTAAAAAATAAACTATTATAAAAATTAGGGAATATTTTTCTCATGTCCTGTGGAAACTACTAGATGAGTTTCTCCTGGCAACCAAAATAGATGGAGAAGTGTTATTATAATAATTGGTGCAAGCATAACTTTAGAATTAAAACAAAATATTGATTGCAAGAAAAAGAGTGTCATGTGTTATGTGCAATTTGACAACATAGATACAAAAAAGTATCAAATAATTCAGGGACAATAGTGAGAGCATATAACATTTAAAATGAGTTTGTGATTGCTTCATGGCTATTAACTGGAAATAAAAGGATATTACAACAAATATTTGCTTAGGGACATGGAGAAGAAGCAAAAGAAAGATAAGCCATTAAATTTAATGGATCTTTTACTAAAGAATAAAAGACAAAAATTGAAAAAAGAGACAACCAAGGTTTTTATATAAATACTAGAGGCCTGGTGTACAAAATTCATGCAGGGAGTGGATATGCCCCTCAGCCCAGACTACAACCTTCTTTAATCTGGGACCCCTTTGAGGGATCTCTGACTGCCTCTCACAATCCAGGACTATTGACTTGCAACCACTCACCTGCCTGCTTGCCTAATTGCCCCTAACCACTTCTGCCTGCCAGCCTGATTGATGCCTACCTGCTTCCCTGCCAGTCCAATTGCCCCTAACTGTCCTCCTCTGCCAGCCTGATCACCCCTAACTTCCCTTCCCTACAGCCTTGGTCGCTCCTAACTGCCCTCCCCTGCAGGCCTGATCGCCCAAAACTGCCCTCTCCTGCTGGCCATCTTGTGGTGGCTATCTTGTGTCACATGGGGGGGGGCCATCTTTGACCACATGGGGGAAGCCATCTTGTATGTTGGAGTGATGGTCAATTTGCAAGTTACCTCTTCATTATACTGAATTATTATATAGGACTAGAGACCTAGTGCACGAAATCCATGCACTTGGGGTGGGAGGGTCCCTCAGACTGGCCTTCCCCCTCTCACAGTCCCGGAGCCCTGGGTGGATAACCAACGGACAGCTTAGACCCACTAAGCCATCAGTCGGACATCCTTAGCATTGCCACAGACGCGGGAGAGGCTCCCACCACTGCTGCTGTGCTCCCCCTGTGGGATCACACTGACCACCATGAGGCAGCTCCTTTGTTGAGTGTCTGCCCCCTGGTGGTCAGTGCACATCATAGTGCCGGGTCATTCCACCATTCAGTCATTTGCCTATTAGCCTTTCATTATATAGGCTATGCTATAGATGAGGCCCTCTAGAACCATAAGAAATGCAAAAAAAAAAAAAAAAAAAAAAAAAAATTTTAAAAAAATTTACTGTTAACTCATTCTCAAATTTCCCCCACTTAAAATCAAATTGCCCCCCCACCCCCACTTTGGGGCATGTGCTGAACCTTGGGAACCACTGGGCTTGACGCTTTTTCTCTCAGCTTCATTTCTGAATACATACACATATACCATGGGAATTGTGATCTCTTCCCTGCCTACCTCACTGAGTAGTCATGAGGAGGTTCTGAGCTAATAAACCTAAAAATGTTTCATAAAGTAAGTGATGTCTAAATGAGAAGGGACTGTTATTTTTAAGCCCACATGTACCCTTGCAGGTAGCAGGTGCTAATTAGGGGAGGAGGCCATGATTGTTTTCTGGGACTGTACCTATGGAAGCTTTACAGAGGGTTCTGCAGGCCTTGGTGGGGCAGGCTCTGTCCAGCAGCCCTGTAGCAATGGTTGTCCCTGGAGGCACTGGCCAAGGGAGGGGGGGGGGGGGTACTAAGGGGATGCTAGGGAGGCGGAGAGGCCAAAGAGGAAGTAACTGTCAAACCTCCCTGCTTGGCGTCATTTCAAAGCTGTATGTGCTCAGAGCGGGGTTCCAATATTCTGGAGTGGGGCAGGGGCCAGACCAGGGCAGGGCCAGGCGGGCTAGGAGTTCAGGGTTAGCCACAGTCTCGGGCGAGGTTCAGTGCACTTCCACTGCAGAGATGGTGCCACTGCTGTAGGGGAGGTGGGGATGGGTCTGATCCTCCGGAGAGTTGTAGGGAGGAGAGGCATGCCTGGCCTCCGTGGAGGGGGCGCGGCTACAGCGGGCTATGGGCCCTGGGTGCCTCGGGGGCACTAACCGGTCATCGCCAGTGTGCTATTGATGTGGGTGCCCCTGGGGAAGAGATCGGGAGTCAGAGGTGTGGTTTGCAGCTATCCCCAAGGCTGGGTCTTCTTCGGTCTCCCCGGGGGTGTGGGGGCTGGAGTAAGGTATCTGTGCAGGGGGATTGGAAGAGCTCCCTGTGGCTGCTTCCCCTTCCTTCTTTGCAGTCTGGGCTCCTGTCAGGTGCTCTCCTCAGACCCCTGGGAACTTGGCTCCAGCCTCCCCGCCCCTCTGTGGCTCCTGGGCACGCCAGCCCCACTCAGCTCTCCCAGGCCGCCTGCCTGTCAGGAGGCTGCCCAGGCGCCCTGCTTTGGACAGAGCAGTCCTGGGGCAGGGAGTGGGGGTGTGGGGAGCAGCTCCAGTAAAGTTTAGTAAACCCCAGGTCCCCTTGGGGATTTGGCTGTGGGGCCACAGGGGAGTCTGCCTGGGCAGGACAAAATCGCACCAGACCAGAGTCCCACCCGACGGCCCCACAGCCCCGCCACCCTGCTGAACGGTGATGATGTGAGTGTCCCAGATAATTTGCACATTCCTCTATTATTACTATAGACATTACTATAAAAATAACTGTAAGAATGAAAGTTAAAACTCCTCTATAAGAATGAGAGCACAATAAAATAGGACACAGTGAAAAACTTTATACAAAATATTCACCTATATAAATATTACTTTTCAAATATAAGTCCAAAAATATTGATCATATCAATAAATGTAAATGGATGTAACATACTGTTAAAATACAGGTATTTTCAAATTGGCTGACAAAAGAAAATTAACACTTTTTTGTATATAAAAGACAATTAAAAATAAAGAGATTTAGAAAGGTTGACAATAAAAGAGTGGACAAATTATACAAAAAAAATTAAAAATAAAAAGTGTGTAAAATATATTTCAAAGAGAATGCTAGGAAATTGAAAGAAACATATTAATAATAGGTTTCTTTGGTTTATTTTTTAAAAAATCAAGACAAATTACCTATTGAAAATTTACAAAAGATATACAGAGTATAATTCATAAAACAGAGCTTATAAATCTGTCTGGAACTCTGAAATTCAATAACAGAAAATATTTTTTTCTTAAGGGCATATGGGATCTTCACAAAATATATCACATCTGATGTGATAAACACCCTGAAGAAATTCTAAAGAGCAAATATATCACAAAGGCATTCACTAACTGAAATGCAACGAAAGAAGAACTTAATAATAAAACAAGAGGGCACTTTTACCTAGAATGACATTTAAACCATGTCATTAAATAAGCCATTGGGTCAAAGAGGAATACAAAATTTACATCTATTATTGAAAATAATAATAATGGTAGTGTAATATTATGGGCAGATAAAACAAATATCAAATACAAATCACCAATATAGTAATAAAAATAAAGGTAACACTACACAGCAAAAATCTACAAAAAACAGCAAAGAACAGGAAAAGCAGGTTAAAAAAAAAAAAAAAGAAAAAGCAGGAGGTAGGGATGAACAATGATAAAAGCTGAAATCAAAACTACCTAATAAAAGAGAAACATGCAAATTGACCACACCTTAGCTATGCCCACAAGCCATGCCCACCAGCCAATCAGGGTGAGTATGCAAATTAACCCAACCAAAATGGCAGTTAATCTGCATATCCAGACCAGAGCAAACATTGAAGACAGCATAGAAAGAACCAAATGCTGTAGAAGGGAGCGAAGCTGTGGTGAAACAAGCAAGCAGGGCAGTGGAGACAGAAGGAAAGCAGATAGTGCAGGGAGAAAGGAGGAAAGCAGACAGGCTGGGGGAGAAGGGAGGGAGGTAGGCTGGGCAGGGACTGCAGCAGGAAGCCCTATTGCAGGAATCTTCCTGCAAAGGGCCTCTAGTACATATATAAAGCAAATTGCAGAATATAATAAAGCTATTTTTCTGAAAGTAACCAAAGGACAAGATATTACCTAAATAAATTAAGAAAATTTAAAATGCAAATTCACAAAATTAGAAATGACAAGTTGGAAGTAACCATAATAAACCACCAAAACAGAAAAACTTAAAAAAAGAATAGGAAACTACTTTGCTCAACTGAAGACCTAGAACATAATGGATAAATTCACAGGAGAACTTTACTAACTCTTAAATCATCAGGTAATATCAATATTATTTTAAATTTTAGCCCATGATAAAAAGTAAACTTTCCAAGTTTATTTTTTAAAGAAATATA